CTTTGTCTCTATGAATGTGACAGTAAAGCCAATCGACAGCTAGTCAAGAGGAATCCGCCTTCGTCTTCTGGTGGAATCGAACTTCGAATCTCTTCATCAAACCCTTTATGAAACAAGAGATTCCTCGAAACCCAACTTTTCTTCGCATAGCCTGGAGACGTTAGGAAAAAAAGCCGAAGGGAATTTTACAAGCAAATTAAAAGGAAACATGAATGATTTTGAGAAATGCCACAACAAAGGATGAGAATAAGAAAAGCGAGAAGATAAATAGCGGCAAAAATAGATTTACTCGGGCATCATTGGGAAGCCAATGGGAGAGGCCGCTTGCACAGTTCGACCCGGCAAAGAGGACGCGGAGACCAATGGCTGCGCGGCAGCTGTCCTACCAGCCCCCAAACTTAGCCCAGCCAGGCTGGCAGCCGTGCTGATAACGGCAGCAGAACCTCCCAAAGTCGACGTCGAGGTCGAACCTGAAATGAGTGGATCGAACACAGCCCAGGCAGCCATATTTTGGCCGGCAGAAGAGGCAGTTGGGGGTACAGCATCATTGACTAGTCCGGTAGCCACAGGCTGGGTCTGAAGGTTGCTAGCACTGGCACTGTGGGAAATTGGCATGTTAGGCGCCGTCCGGCTGAAGAAATGCAGGCAAATCCACGAGGATGTGGAGGGGCAATCGAGGCATTGATAGGCAGTATAAAGATATAGTTGGGAACGATGCGGATGCAACAACAGCCATTCGAGGAAGCATAGCATGCGGGAGTTGGTTTGTGCAAACGTGTTTTTACAAGTGTTTGAGGGTACGTTTTTTAGTAAACATGCCGAATAGTAAATTGTGCATTAGCATGACGAGCGCCAGTGATATAAGTTGGCGTCCAGGCAACTTGTAGATAGCATAGAGGGGAGGGGAGGGATGCGTTGGTGCATCCATGTGGCCACAGGCAGTTGAAGATACGGGTGAAATGAGCAATTAGACGGGGAAGAGACCGGAGGCAGACGGAAACGAAGGTATACGAAGAAGAGAATCGATGAGATAGATGAAATTATGCCGAAGATTAGACATAAATTGGTGAAGTATAAGCACGAGAGACCTGGCGATTTATTAGATTAAATCACGATTAATTTTT